TTTATATGTAGATCTCAATCGAGTCATTTTATATTTATTTTTTTTAAATGATGTCTCGACTGATAATCTTTGAGACTTATGTGACATGAGTACCACAAATAAAGCAAAGTTGTCATCTTATTGTGTATGTCATGGACTAACTCGGATGTTGAAATATGTGAATGCGAAGTGACCATTAAATTGGGGCAAATTTGGTTGCTTATGTAAATTGTGGACCACAACTTTTAGGATTGGAAACTTCAAGAGAGGAAATTGACAAACTAAATTGAAGAAAGAGGGCTATCAAGTAATCCTCTAAGGCCCTACCTATAAACCACCTTTAGCTTGCACTTGACTACTTATCATCCTTTCTTTTCAAAAATAAAATTAAGAATTACCAAAAAAAGGAGCTAATTTTGGAGTATAGGGCGGCTATAATATTAAATATGAAATTTAAAATTCATAAATTTCAAATTTTGACTCTATCTTGTTTTGAAGATTGAAAAGTTGGATATTAAAAATCAAGTCAAAATAACCATATTTTTTTACATTTATAAGTTTTATTTGTCAATTTTTGCGCAGACCTAATATTTTGAAATTCTCTTTTTTAAGTATTTGGACAAGCAATTTGTTTTCTCCATGATGAAGAAAAGAAAATTAAATATGTTGTTGGCTACAAAATATAAAAATAATAAAAATCAAGGGTTTACATATTTGGTAGTGTTTCACTCACCTTTTTTTTTTTCATTTATTTAACTTTTGAAAAAAGTGGTGGGGTTTTTCTTTTTAGTTCTAGTGGTGTTTCCACCTTGCTCCACAAAATTATGTAAACAAATTAGTACACCCTTCTTCCCATATTTTCTTTTTAGTTCTAGTGGTGTTTCCACCTTGCTCCACAAAATTATGTAAATCAAAGAAAAAGGATGTACCCTAAGTTTGAGATATTCAAAGTGATTTAAGAAAAAGACAAATAAAAGGTGCTCGACAAGATTTAAGGTATAAACGGCAGGGAGTCGATCGGCCATCAGCAGATTCAATATTTTAGGTTAAGTATTAATAGCATTAACTACTTTGTAAAAAATTAAAAAGTCCTCTTGTTCGTTAAAATTCTGTCTCATCTATATATTTTTTGTTTGAGAAAAAGATTTTATCATTCATATATGTCATTATTTGTTAACTTGAAAATAGTTCTGATTTTGCAAAATCATTTATTTATATGTGGTCAATTTTCACTTGGCCACAAAAAGAGAAAAGGCTCAAATATGTCTTTTTCTCAAACGAAAATGATATAGATGAATCAAACTTTTAAATGATGACATAAACAGGTCTTTTCTCAAAATTCGATGGCATATTTAAGCATATTCCCTTCAAATTATATGTACTTCTATTCTATAACCAGTGCATGTAACTTACTAAATATTTTTTTTAATTACATAAAAGCGAGTAAAAACAATGTGTTTATTCCCCTTACATATACTTGCTAGCATCTTCCCTAAAGATGTCATGTTTGTCTCTTAACAAAAGTGAGAATATTCAAGTCAATTTTTTGGCCGGCGAACTTAGGTAATTGACTAAATTTTTGAAAAAATGAAATATTTATTTTTAAAAAGTGCTTATGAATAATATTCAGAGTTGTTTTTTCAAAAGCTTAAATAGTAGTAGTAGTTTTTTTTCAAAAGTATTTTTGAAATATCAATCAAGCACAAAGTATTGTTTTATTATTGATAAAAGAAAATTTAATTAATTAATCAAACACAAATTATTATTTACTTTTAAAAAAAATATATTTTTAATTACTTTTTAAAATAAGAGATTTTCAAATTTGACGCTATAAGTTTATTAGCTAGTAGCAACTCATGATAAATTTAATGGGGTGTTCACAATTGGCATGAAACACGAAATTATTCGAACTTTGGCATAGGCATAATAAAATAAAATAATTAACTCCTCAACCAGAGTTGTGAAAGGGCGAAGAAAAAGGAGGGAAAAAAAAAGAGTTAGTGGAAACATTCAGTTGCATGACCAATCCAATCTGCAATAATGTAAATATTTTACTATTTATTTTAATATTTATATAAGAGAGTTTGAAGATGAGATCAGAGTATCAACTTATAATGCTGTTGTTTCCTCTTCCCAAAGTATGATATACTCACTCGGTCCTTTTTAGTTGTTATGTTATATTTTTTGAATGTCGATTTAACTAATTTTAAAGTATTATAAATTGCATATATATCAATATGATGAAAAATACATAGTAAAATATTAGTCAAAACATTTTACTTTATCTGTTTTTAATTACTTGTTCACTTTTGAATTGATACACATATTAAGAAAACAATAATTGACACAGTGAGTTTACCATTTATCTCTATTAATTATGAAGTAGATAAATTAAAAACTTGAGATTTTCAAAAAGTTCTATATTTTTCAAAGTAATTAATTGAAGGTATAATATGTAAAAAAAAATGTCCTTTCTTGATTTGTCAACATTGACAAGTAATCAGGGACAAGTGATTAGAGATATAGGAAGTATTATTTGACTCTAAAAAATGAAATATGACAATTAAAAGGGGATGGAGAAAGTATTGTATTATTCTTTCACCGTAATATTTTTTTTATGTATTTTAAATATTTTAAATTATTAATCAATATAATTTATAATATTTCAAAAATGATTTTATATAAATATATTTTATTTTTAAAAAATAAATAAAATTTCATATTCAAATTATTATCAAATTAAATTACTCGACTCTTAAAATTTAAATTACACATAAATAAATTGAGACAAAAAAATATTATTTTAATAAAATAATACTATTATGGTGGAATAAAGCTTACGTGGGATAGTAGCGCCATGGACGGATTAATGTAGTGCCTTCTCTGGGTACAGAATTGAAAGGTAACGTGTCCCAACTTGATTTTGTTAGTCTCAAATCAATGCAAAATAATACTATATGGGCAAAGATCCTAATTATTCGCACATTATATTTCCTAGACTCAAATATTTTTGTTTGATTTCTAAAAATAGTTATATCAAATTATTTATAATTATAAAAATTTAGAATAATATTATTATTTTTTCAATTTAATTATTTTGAATATTGCAAATACCTCAATTATAAAGCAGATGGCACATAAAAATAAAGTATAAGTATTCAATAAAGAAAACTTATACTTTATTTTAACACATAAATAAGAATAATATAATTAAAATTTATTCTAATTAATATTTTCTTACATTAATTTAAGCCGATAGGAATATATATTTGTAATAGTCAATCTTGAGAAGTTCAATTTTGGCTGCTAAAACCAATAACTTTGCTTCGATTTTTATGGAACAAATCAAGTCATCATTGGAATAAGAGTTCGAATCAAATAGAACTGAGAACTATGATATATTAAACGGGTAAATAAAGTGATTACCTAGAGTATTATTGTCATTTAATTTGCATTAAGAGTAAATAAAATATTACTATAAGAATTTTGTATATTCAAGAACGAGGCTATGATTCTACTTATTATAGAATATTTCGTCATTTGCAATCAAACAACATAGTGCATGCACCAAACTCACAAATATATTTACAAAACTACGTTTGAAGAGTGTAAAAAAAACAACATAAAGTTCGATTAACACCAATTATTGAATTGATTGATATTAATAATTAGGATCAATAATAGTGTACGTGAGAAGGCAAGGGATATTTTTTTAAAAAATCGCTATCAGCGAATTATGGTGAGTATTGAAAGAAACAAAGTTGTAGGAAACGTGTAGCATCTTTATTTAATTTTTGTATACATATCAAAACCATATCTTCCATGCATCATTCTCACTTTTTATAAATCAAGTGGCCTACCAGTTTTGCACCCTACTTTTGTGGAAATAAATCCATGCAAGATTTTGTATATATTTTGGATTAAGATTATCAGAAAAAAAATTATTGCTTAGGGAAGACGAGAGTTCTAAAAGTCTGAAATCGTTAATGAGTTTTTGAGTCATAGTTTGTATAGTTTTGAAACAAAACTTCTGCTATATTTAAACTTCTATTATGCGGACAACTTTAAGGAGTCTTTGATAAATGAAAAAAGAGCAACTTTCATATAGTACATTAATATAGGTGCTAATTACTCAATGCATTATAGTTTAAATCATTACTTATCTTGTTCAGATTGCTTGTAGATATGTTGTATTTGCCTTTGAATACATTATATCTAGCAACTGTATCTTGTCTCTTTTCTTTCTCACTCGTGTTTTTCTTGACCTCCCCTCCCTCTACTTTTTTGTATATGTGTATCTAATACCAAATATGCATTAATGTATCAAGTGTATCCGTGTATATCAATTTTCATTCATTGTATTTAATATCAAATATCTAGTGTATGCGATATTAATTTCATGTATCCAATATAAAAAATAGCATTGATGTATCCAATATATTTGCGTACCTGTGATGTATCCTGCACTTGTGCACAAATACATCTATTTGAGATCAATTTTGTGATGTATCCATACATCACTTAGAAAAACGCAAAAATATAGTTATGCAGATTCATATATATATGATGTAATTATGCCTTTACTATATATTTGGGAAAAAATGAAGACGAAAATATAATTATACAAATACATATATCTGATGTTATTACGCCTTAATTAATAATCCATGATAGAAATATTTATCTAATTAAATAGTTTTTCGATGAAAATTACTGCGACTTTGGTAACTATGAATCAATAGATCGAAATTCTCCCCACAAAAGACGACCCAAAGAAAAAGAAAAGAAAAGAAAAGGAATCCAAATGGGGCTTGGCCCATTTCGTGGTCGCACTAGTAAGCCCATTTCATTGTACCTAATTTCCCGCCTTTTTTCCAGTATGATGAAATAATGTTTAGGGAAGAAAATATATTAAGTCTAATGATGATTAGGATGCTATTTTAATTAATTAAATTTGAAACTTTGACATGTGTTGTTAACCAAATCCTACAAACTTCCGAAGTCACAGGTTTTCCTCACATAATTTTCAATGGCAATAAAGGAAGCTTTGATGAAAAAAGGAGCTTCAATGGAACACTCTTCATTCATTCTTCCTTCTTTTCTTCTCCTTCTTTATCCTATTTTTCTAGCCCTAATTATACCACAATTTTCACTCACTGTTGCATTCATAATACAAAAAATTTATTGGAATTTGATTAATTTTTTTGTGTGTTGTGTTTTCCAGAAGAGAGATAATCTTCCGGAATCCGATTTTGATATCGGACTCCGCCATGGAAGATGACTAGAATATTTGAAAAGCCGGCGTCTCACCTTCGTCATTTACAGCAATCGTTGAAGAACAAATCATCTTCGACTGATGTGCCATGGTGGCGCCAAATTCTCGACCCAAACAGCGATATTGTCAATCGCTGGAACTATGTCTTCCTCCTTACCTGTCTCATCTCTCTTTTCATCGATCCACTTTACTTCTACGTACCTTTCGTCAGCGAAAGAGCTTGTATGTCCACTGATGACGAAGCCGCCCGTGAAATTACCATCTATCGTTCTCTCACCGACATCTTTTACTTCCTCCACATTGCCATGAAGTTCCGCACCGCTTTTGTCGCTCCTAGCTCTAGGGTTTTCGGCCGGGGTGAGCTTGTTATGGACCCGCGTGAAATTGCTATACGATATCTCAAGACTGATTTCATCGTTGATTTTACAGCTGCTCTTCCCCTGCCTCAAGTCAGTACATATCCATTTAATACTCTACGCCGTTTATTATTGTTAAATTTGAAGTATTAATTAACAGTGCCATTGCAGATTGTCATTCGGTATGTAATCCCAGCAGCAAAAAGAAATGGTTCTGGTCATTCCAAAAGTACACTTGCACTTATCGTTCTCATACAATATGTGCCAAGGTTATTCGTTATTTTCCCATTAAATCAGCAGATTATCAAAACTACAGGTTTTATTGCTAAAACAGCCTGGGCAGGAGCAGCTTATAATCTCCTTCTGTTCATGTTAGCGAGTCATGTAAACACTCATTTCCCATTCCCTTTCGTTTCGTAATAATATATCTATTCCAACGCAAGATATTTGTTGGATTTGATGTCAAAGACATAGACAGAAATCACCTGATTTGAGAATTGTGCCTTTTCTTCTTTGTGTGCAGGTGGCAGGAGCTTCCTGGTACGTGGCATCTATAGGAAGACAATTCTCTTGCTGGGCAATTGAATGTAATAAGGAGCGTGATGCAGTTCCACCCTGCATTCTTGAATTTTTAGACTGTAGCAATGTTGATGAGGATAGTTATATACGCGATTACTGGCGAAACAGCACAAAAGTGCTTGACAAATGTGATGCTGTAAATGATGAAGATTCTGGTTTTAAGTTTGGAATTTTCGCTGATGCCTTTACTAATGAAGTGGCTTCATCATCATTCATGGCGAAATATTTATACTGTCTTTGGTGGGGTCTAAGAAATTTGAGGTTTGATTTCTTGAACTGCAAATTTACTCTTCTTCTTCAGTCCCTTCATTCATTCTCAGTTTTGCATATTCAATGGTGTTGGTGATTATAATTGAAAGTTGGCGTCTCAAAGTAATTCCTAGAGACATTCGTCTTCTGACATGCTCCTTCATTTTTTATTTATTTTTTTATTTTTTATTTTTTTAACACTAAAATAATTAGATATTATGGACCTTAAAACATGCGATCAGCATCTATTTTTTTTTAATAAATTACATCCATGAATGGATGTGCATCTTATTTCTTCCAGCAAAAACTTACATGTTGATGCACCTTTGAGTTCAAAGGAACTCAACAAAAGTTGCCAGTTCCATGACTAGCAATATGTACAAAAGTAAACTAATTAACTAACAAAGAAGTTGGCCTTGTCATTTTTTGTTATTTATATGACAGTATTTGAGAAAGAAATACTATTTACACGTACGCTAAATATAGGTGACTTACCAAAAGAAACCCTTAGATCTTTTGGTCTTAATGCCATATCATTCCTATAATAAAAGAGACTAATTAAGGGTAATATGGGAGCATCAGAAATGAATGGTGTCAATCTTCTTGAAATGAAAATTCGGAAGAATATTATTTCACTTTAGCTGCTTTCGGTTCCACTTTATACATTCTGATAGAATTTATGTAATCTAGTCTAGCTTTTAAAGGACTCTTTGCGTTTAGATCTGCATCCGAATACGCAAGTCACTCTGTCTGTTTGGTACCCAGTCTCTTATGTTTGGTTAATTCATCAGGCAGCTAAGATTGGACTAGGATTTCATAAAATGTTCACCGTTGTCTATCTCGGCTACTGAATTTTTGGCAAGCATTTTCACTGCTGTTAATCATTGGAAATGATAAAGTATAGTGATCCTCTGAAAACTGTCTTGGATCATGTATGGCTACCACATAAAATGTCACAGTGAAGATTTTAGTCATTTTGGATCACATAAATGATTTAATGAAAATGAATTCTTTGTCTCCTTTGTTGCTTAGGATACCATCAAATTCCTCGGTTCTTTTTCCAGGTAGCAATCTTATATTTATCTTTACAAATGTTGTCTTGCAGTTCATATGGGCAGAATTTGAATACTAGCACATATATTGGTGAAACCTTATTCAGCATTTTCATAAGTATCATCGGTTTAGTTCTCTTTGCACAGTTAATTGGAAACATGCAGGTAAGATTTTGAGGATAATATTTGTCTGTATAGATCACTATTATCACCTAGTGCAGTTATCTGAAGTAATTTCATCATGGTTTATATACATGAATGATTACCTATACATGTTATGTCAGACACCTTCAAGTTGTTATAATTATTCACCTCTAGAACAATGTTAAGCATGATAACACTGTTGATAAGATTTTGTTAATTTGTGATAGTTGATTTACATAATTTTGTGTTAATTACCAGCTAAATATCTTACGGAGTTGGATTAATTCTTTGAAGAGTAATCAGAAACCTCTAAGAGCTTCAATTTCATTTTTCAAGTTGATATTCCTGCTATGTGCCATTACTCTAGATATGTTCCCTACAATCTCAAATTATAAGCAGCTTAGGTCCATTGGGTTTGATAGTATAATATTAATCAATATTACTTCTGGGTTGAGTTGGATACTGCTTTCAGATTATGCTTAGGGGTTAGTCGGTGATTTGTACGGTTTTTTAAGAGTTTGAGCTACCATTTTCCATTTGTTTCATCTAGTTTAGGACATGCTTCTTTGTCCTTGATATACTTCTGAAATTTCTGCCCTTTCCAGACTTATCTGCAATCTATGACCGTAAAAATTGAGGAATGGAGAATTAGAAAAAGAGATATAGAAGAATGGATGAGGCACCGACAGTTGCCTGAAGACTTGCAAGAACGTGTTCGCCGTTTTGATCAATGTAAATGGCTTGCAACAAGAGGAGTTAATGAAGAAGAGATCTTGCAAACTTTGCCTTTGGATCTTCGTCGTCAAATCCAAAGACACCTATGCCTTAATCTTGTTCGACGAGTATGTCTTTCTGGCACTACACTTATCATTATTTTGCTTGGCTCGTGCATTATATATTAAACTATCATGACATATTGATGTCTTTTCTTCTTGAGACTTGATGGGTTATCAGTATCTCAAGCAGAAACTCTGACCACCGGTCCCAGGAAATCCTTTGTTCCTAAATTGGTATAGCTGATATAAATGGTACCTATCGACATTTGCGTATTTTAACAAAATATTTGCACATTTCATGATTTAATTTACCCGGAAACGAGAAACAATCATTGTTCATAGATTATGACATTTGCATCAGCTCTCGTTGATGTTTGATAATAGATTTATTTTCTATCAAGGTTGCCCTTGTCATTGTGATCTTTAGATATATATATGGCATGGCCTGATGATGTAATATATGGTGTTTGCAGTATTTCACTTCTCTTGGAATTGAAATACTGTCAGGAGGCAAACATAAAGGAAAAGAGCTGCAGGCAGAAATATTTGGCCAGTAGTTGAACAAAAATGAAAGATTTGAGCAAAATAAAATAGTTCTATCTCTTCAGTCATTAATTTAAGCTTTGACTTGTGATGCACCTTATGTTTTGTATTTGCATCAGCCACATATTTGGACTTGTATTTTTACTCTGTAAATGCCTAAGCCCATCCACTTTTGTTTGCTAAGCTTTAGAGATCCCAAAATCTCCTTACTGCGCAGGTTCCATTTTTTGAGCAAATGGATGACCAGCTGCTTGATGCAATATGTGAACGCCTAGTGTCGACCCTGAGCATAATGGGCACCTATGTTGTTCTAGAAGATGATCCAGTGAATGAGATGCTCTTTATCATCAGGGGACAACTAGAGAGCTCCACAACAAATGGGGGAAGATCTGGATTCTTCAATTCTATCACCCTTGGACCTAATGACTTCTGTGGTGAAGAATTGCTGACTTGGGCCTTACTGCCTAACTCAACGCAGTTGCCAGCTTCAACTCGAACTGTGAGAACACTTTCTGAAGTTGAAGCATTTGCACTTCGAGCTGAAGACCTGAAATTTTTTGCAGTTCAATTTAAACGTCTTCACAGCATGAAGCTACAGCATGCATTTAGGTACTATTCTCATCAGTGGAGAACATGGGGTGCTTGTTTTATACAGGCTGCATGGAGAAGGTATATGAAGAAAAAGATGGAATACGAGTTGGCTCTACAAGAGAGCTATTATTATAATCAAGATCCTAACGATGAGGGTAACTACAATGAGCAAAGTTTTGATGACGCTGGTCCTGAGCAACCGTTAGTAGACAGTGGTTCTCGTGGTTCCCAACAACTTGGAGCTACAATTTTGGCCAAACGATTTGCTGCTAATACGAGAAGAGGAATAGAACTGAAGATGGCTGATTCTTCTTCCAGCTTAAAAATGCCCAAGTTGTTTAAGCCAGATGAGCCTGATTTTTCTGCAGAATGAAGGCGACATTATATGTAATTAGTTAGAACACCTTGCATTACTGAAAGGTACTAGTGAGTAATGACAAAGCTAGTACCCTTTTTTTTTTAATCTTTTTGTAAATTTCAGGAACAATAGGCCTTTTACATTTTTGATTACAACACTTTTCCTTTTTCAATCATGTGAAATACAACCTCTTTTCTAGTTGATTGTGCCTAAAAATTGTGCAGTTTCAAAAAGGTACATACTCCCTCTGTCCCAATTTATGTAATTTATTTTCCTTTTTAATCCGTTCCAAAAAGAATGATACATTTCTATATTAAGTAACAATTTAATCATAAAATATCTATTTTACTCTTAATGAAATGATTTATAACCACACAAATTTCTATCATTTATTTTGAACTACAAGTTTTGAAAGTCTTCCTTTCTTTCTTAAACTTCGCGCCAAGTCAAACTACCTCACATAAAATGGAACAGAGGGAGTATTAGATTGTCATATCTATTACTAAAAAGGAAACATACAAGCTGTTTTTTAAAGTCAAAATATGGGAAAGTACAATTTTTGAAGCAATAAAGTATAATTTATTTAAGCATAATAATAATAATATACCAAAATTACCCCTGGCTAGGTTGACGAACAACTGCTTCCTTAGCCTCTTATACTATATAGTAGTAATATATACTGATGATAGTGTAAATAATTTTGAATGACTATGATTTAATCAATTACTATAAGTTAGACGAAATGGTCTGATGAATTCTTATACTTACATGAATTTGTATTGTGAATCATTCAACTTAACTTTTTATCAACTGAACCCTTAAATTCAATAAAGAGAAAATGGTGTAAACCCCCCCCAACCTATACCCGAAATCCCAACTACACACTCCAACTTTACGAGTGTCCTATTACCCACCTGAACTTTATAATTCTCTATTTTATACACACCTAAGTGCCGACCTGTCATGGGAGGTGTTCTCACCTTCTCTAGGCGCGTTAGAAGGTGAATTTTGCCTCTCTCCTTCTCTAGGCGCGTTAGAAGGTGAATTTTGACGAAAATTTCTGAGAAAATAGTCATCTTCCCCAATTAATCAATGAAAGGATTCAATCTCAATTGACCTCCATTAATGGCATTGCTAGTGCTTTCGTTTGTTCTCCCTCTTTTGTTGCTCGACCATCAGCCACCACTGTCGCCGCCTCCGGCGAAATCCAAACCACCAACAAAACCTCGTTCTCCTCTTCTCCTCTCCTCTTATCTCTCTCTCATTCCGAGACAACCACCATAAAGACCTACCTCTGTTCTCACAACAAGGTCGACAACAACAACAACAAAAAAACCTTGCAGCTGCACTGCTCCAACCAGCGAAGCAAGCAAAACAGATCCTTTTAGATTATTTTTCAATGTTCTCCGACAAGCAAAACTCGAATATCGCTTGACAAGCTCCCGCTATCAATATTCATCTTTGTTACTCACAATTCCATAGGAATTTGAAAGAATTGGGGGAAAAAATTACCTTAGAGATTTTAAGAAATTGGGAGAGTATAGGAAAAAGTGGAAAGGAATTATAAAAAAATTGAAAAAAATAATAAATTAATTGAATTTTCACCTGTAAAACGCGTGAAGTTCACAGGCCAACACAGATCTGGTTATGGCATTTTAGGGGTGTAATTATTACAGTTTTAAACAATTCAGGTAGGTGATAGGACTCCCGTAAAGTTGGAGTGAGTAGTTGGGATTCCGGGTATAGGTTGGGGGTTTTAGACCATTTTCTCTTCAATAAAACACAATGTATTTAACTCTTTGACCATGGAGTATGGACCATGGACCATGTTTATGTGACATTAAAATTGTTGAGTTGGCGAGAGAGTGTGACTACCCGCGTGTTAAGGCAAATGAACACCATATTTTAAATTTTAAATTATTAAAATTATATTTAAAAAAAATTAAAAGGAAAAAATCTAACTTCTTCCCCCACCACTTTCTTTTTCAGCCATCCCACCCCCACTCCATCGTTGCCCCAACCCCATTTTTTTCCTTCTCCACACCCTATGTTTTCTTCTTTAGCCGATCTTGGCATTAGCACTTTCATGACGTCAGGTTTTATGGCGATTATCAGTGGAGGGAGAGAGTGGTGTTGGTTTCATGGTAGTGCTCGCCGATTTGCAGCGGAGTAAGAGGGAGAGAGGTGGAGCTGGTCCCTTTTTCGCTAGAATGGGAGGCGGTGCTAGTCTCTTTTCCGCGAGAATGGGAGGCAGCGAGATAGTTTGCTGGTACGCTGGAGAGGATGGAGAGGAGACGCCATTTTCTGGTGGTTCACAGGGGGTCGTCGGCAGGGGCGGACCCACGTATTGAGTTATGGATGCTCGAGCACCCATTGATCCCGACGGAAATTTTATATATCTATATAGAAAATGCTAAAAAAGTTATAGAATATATCTTTCATCACCCAATATCCAAAATGTCTTGTAGGTGCGTTGGTCGTGAAGTTAAATGCTGGGATTGTTAAAGCATCACTTCGGGGGTCCTGGTGTAACCCCATAATTTTTGTTAACAAAAATGAAACTTCTTTCATAGTTTTTGTCTTCTTTTTATATCTTTTCACAGACTTTTTCTTATATTTCTTTCTAATTTTTTCAGTTTCCTATTTTTTTGTTCATTAACTAACTAAAAAATATTAGTAAGCCTCTATAAAAAAAAAATCTTGACTAGCAACTTTATGTTAAAGGAATTGAGCACCCATGACCATTAAAGGAAAACAGTGAAGAGGAGAACGAGGCAGGAGATGGCACGAGAAACTGGTCACGGCGATGAAAAGATTTGCTGGTCGGAGCTGGTGGTGCGGCCGCTTACGCGATGGCTGGTTCTGCGAGAAGAGTAAAGGAAAACAGTGTGCGTTAGAGGCGCACACATTTCTTTAAGAAATAAATTAAATTTTTATTATTTTATCTTTTATTTAATAAATTTAGTTAATAATTTTTTTAAAGAACAATTAGTGAGGATAATGATTATTTATTATTAATTCAAATGACATGGATTTGACATGTCATCTACTTAAGGGCGAGTGAACTACACACATGGTAAGAGGAGCTTAAAAATCTTCTTTTGATTGAGTTTAAGGATTTAATTGGTAAAATGTTAAATAGAAGTAGAGCCGTCAAAAAGGGCTTAGCCCATGGGGCCGGCCCGACCCAACCTGTTATTGGGGTAGGGTTGGGATAGTATTTTACAAGCCCGTTTAAAATCGGGGCTTATAAGCCCAACCCTTTTAGGCCCTTAGCCCTTGAGGCTTGATCGGGGCCGGGTCGGGGTTGGCCCCATGGGCCAAATTATTAATTTTAATTAAAATAAATATTAAAAAAAATAAGAATAAAACACTAGAAAACCTAAATAAGTGTTTGTGGAGTTTTTCTAAGGAGCTTACCTCATGAATTTATTTATTATTTAGTTTTGAATATAAGACTTGGATAGTAAACACTATTTATATTATATGTGATCAAATGTTTTATGGCTTGAACAATTAATTAGTTTCTTGATTACATTTAAAAAATAACTTTAAGTAATTATGTATTGCTAACTAAAGTTTTAATCAGAAGTATTCTTTAGTTTACTAGTTTGTTTTTCAGATATTATTATTTTTTCTTTAAATATTTATTGCTAGATTTTATTTAGAATTATTGAAACAATGTTACTGTTTGTGACATTGATTTGACATAAAAAAAAAAGGGCCAACCAGCCCCATCCCTTGACCCTTTTGGGGTTGGGCTGGGTTGACCATTTTGCATCCCTTTGAAATGAAGGGTCGGCCCGCCCCATCCCATCAAATTCTTTTGCTCGCGAGGCTTGGGCGGGGTAGGGCTGGGCTGCCCCGTTTTGACAGCTCTAAATAGAAGGCTCTATAATACAAACTCATACAAGTACAAACAAGGATCCATTAGACCATTTCGCTTTATAAGTTATAACAAGTTATACATTTATCTTATTTTCGAGGTCACTAGTTTCATTGCTTCACTTATAACGGGTTTAGATGGTATAAAGTAGCCCTAATTATTTTAGGTTACACGGTTAGTTTACTTGATTGTCTAAACAAAGTTTAAGAAAGAAATGTTGAACCTAAGCTAAATATAGAGCAAAGGGTTCCTTAATTTTCATTTAATAATTAAATTTATCCTCCGTTATAGTTCTTAGGCATAATACATAAACATGACCTTTAACTTGACTTCAGCAGACAAGTATGCCCTCTAATTTTGAGTGCACACAAGTAGACACTTAAATTTGTATAAAATTGAATAAGTAGACACATGTGTCCTACATGACATAATACACGTAGGACACAAAATTGTCATGTAGGACGAATGTGTATATTGTTCAATTTTATACAAGTTTAAGTGCTTACTCGTGCACACCCAAAGTTAAAAATAGTTATCACGCCAAGTTAAGGGTCATGTTTATGTATTATGCCTAGTTCTTATAACGGAAAGCTCAGAATCAGCCCAAATTATCCAAAAATGAAAAGACCCCCCCCCTTTATATAACCCGCAACCGACCAACTAACAAGTAAAACCCACCCAAGTCCAAGAAAGCAAAAAAAAAACCCCTCTAATGGTGGCGTGGCGGCGGCGCATCTTCTTCAATGGGTTCCAAGAGAAGGGGAAATAACTTCACCCGCACCCGACCCGACCCCATTAACAAGTAAACCACCTTTCCTGTTATAGTTCTACCCAAGTCCAAGAATGCAAATACAAACTCATCTGGGCGTGGCGGCGGCGCATTTTCTTCCATGTCTTCCAAGAAAAGGGAAAATAACTTTGCCTTTTTCCATCTTCTACAGTTTCCATAATTTTTGCCTTTCTTAGAATCTAACTCACTTCAACCAAATACAAATTCAACAAAGAAGAGATAAAACGCAATAAAATGAATAGCATGCCAGAGGAAAATCTCAACACCTGAATAGACATAAAAAAAAATCAACTTAGCAGTTAAATAAAATATCACATGCCACACAAGACGGAGCAGGATCAACAGCAGAAGTTACCGCGTAAATCGCCATGAACCCAACCACAAAAGCAGAGACAAATGTCAATCGCCCCAAATCCAGTACATTCTTGTACTGCAATTCCAATCACATTGCCTCAAATTGCCGCAAACCCAGTAACTTGGTGATGTTTGAGGAAGATGGAGAAATT